AGCGCTCGGGAGCGGGGCGGGGTGCGGTGCGGGCTGTGGGGGGAGAGAACGCGTTTTCCCTGCCGCGCTGCGGGGAAACGGCGAGTGAGTCAGTGCCTGGAGTATGTTCGCTCCTTCAGGGAACGGCTGCGGGCGGCCACGGGCGTGTGCGGCCGGTGCGATGGGAAATACATCGTGCCTCGGCAGAAGTGGCGTGTACGTGGCGTCGGTGTAGAGAAAAGGGTGCTGAAAGCATGTTTCACAGCCTCAAAAACTAGATGGGTCTGAAAAAAAATCACGGCCAAACGGTAGTCCCTTATTTGTAAGAATACCTTTCCCTGTTTTAGATGTGAGCTCCTAGCTGGGGGACTGAAAGTTCCTCGACAAACAGAATTTCCATGTTCTTTGTTGCAAACTTGCCTGCAGTCTTTGCTGTCTGGTGTCGTTAGAATGTAAAAGCATTGATTTGGCTTTCTTTTCTTATTTTTCTGAATAAAGGAGAATTGACTCTCCTAATCTTTCAAATCCTGGTGCTATTTCAGAATCTACCCAGTTCTAACTGAAAAAAAAATGTACAGAAGTATTGAAGGAAATTCATCTTAGAAGGATAGGTTATTCGCTGAAAAATGAAAAGGCTACTTGTTTTTTAGGGATAGAAAAAAAATCTCATGCTCTTTCGTTTTCTTGGAGAAAAGGAGCATGAGCTTTACAAGACATAAGCATGATGATGTGCACACGTGCGTGCTAAGCCTTTTTTGAGAGCACTTTTCTGTCTAAAATCTTTATATTTCAATTGCTGTAAGTTCATTTGATGATGATGTTACTCTCTTATGTCCTAGCAAAGGACATAAGATGAATTAATCCATCTTACATGTTGCTTTAAATGTAAAGAAAGTAGATCCACTTCTTAAAACTGCACTGTTTGGCTTGAGGAGCGTTTAAAAAGCGCATTAACTTTTTATTCTCTTTAAGTTATGGTTTCAAATGTTGTGGTAATAACTGATACTAAACGTACTGAGTTTGCCTCCCTGGCCTATTCAAAGTGTTGAACTGAACTTCAGCACTTGTGCAACAGTTGCTGTTGGAAAAACATCATAAAATCACTTGGCCTGGTGATAAAACATGGCCTAACTTCTTACCTAAAGTAGGAATGAGTTGTAACTGATTGAAATATGCCTTTGGATATAGATACAGATACAGAATATGCCTTTGGATACAGATCAGCTCTAGAGCAAGACAGTCTATACTGAGGGCAGAGCGCTCTCCCCAACTTGCTGGATAAAAATAAAGCTTTGTGTGTCCTGAGTTATTATGCAAGTTTTCCTTATCTTGGACTTCAGATAATTACACTATCAGATTTGGAATGTGACTACATTAACGCCAGATCATGCTGCTCAAAACTCAATAAAGTAAATTATTCTTTGCATTTAATGTGGTTTAAGAAAACAGCCCTTCATCTTAGCATCACAAATAACAAGCGTGTAATGTGTATCTGAAGAGCCTTGATTGGCAGTGTTTTGCATGTGTCCTTTGTTTCAGTCTGCTTGTCTTGTTCGGATGCCCATCTTCCAGCAAATTCGGCCACGAATGTCTGTCCTTCTGACTCTTGGTGCTCTGAGATGGGTTGCTACTCTGAATTTGTGGGAATGAGACTTAATTCTTCACAGAGCTCTGGAGTTCTGTGCTTTCCTTCTTGTAGGTGTGCCACACCGGTGGTGTCGACTCGTGACTGAGCTCAGATCTTTATAGCAACTTTCTCTGACGCTTCTTTATAGCTTCTAACCTCTCTTGAACTGTAGAGAGTTTTGCTGTGATAAGGAAAAGTACCATTTTAACCAAATCTGCTTAAAACTGTTTTCATTAAATCAGTGTGGCCTTCCCGCGTGGGTGTTCGCTTTGATTTAAAGGTATTTTCTTTCTTAGTGTGAGAGAGAATGCTGCAGGATACTATCAAGCCAAAAATGTGTTATTGCCTGGGGCTGACCCAATTTAATTATCCCAGTTTTTACATTGATCAACTTTCTTATCTGTTCCAAGCCTGAGGGTGTTTGTGTGTCCTGTGTCTGTGCAGATTTTAATTATCTGCTTCTCTCATTCCTAAAGCCACTGTTCTCTGCAGTGATTTCAGAGGAGCACTGTGTACTTTAACTCACTTTCTTAAGTGGGTTGTAATAAAGTTGTGTAGCTTGTGTAATAAAGTTGTGTTCAAACAGCTGTTGTGCTTCTGTCTAGAAATTTTCGTAACACTTGGATAAAGTACTTCTGTTATGATATCTTAGGGCCTGATTTCTGGCTGGCTTAATTGAATCTGTCTGAAGGTATTAATTTCCTCACGTTGTGATGAAATCATGTGCTTCTGTCCTGAATTCTCTGAGTTTTACATGATTAGAATCAGATGATAACTCCGTATAGATCCCTTTTTCAGAAAGGAATTTACATTTGTGCATATAACTCTTTTTCTTTTCTTCCCTTTTCACAGTGGGTGCTCCCTGAGGTGATTGGCCATGCTGTTGTAACTGTATTAATGCTTATTTCGTTGCACTGGTTCATCTTTCTCCTTAATTTGCCAGTAGCAACATGGAATATATATAGGTAAGTGCAAAGAGGTTTGTGTCCTTTTTTTTTTTCCATTACTATTTAGCTTTCAATGTAGTATGAAGGTAAATAACATGTCATGCTGAGATGTTTCAGTTGTGTTCTTGAGCTGCTAACAAGTCTTCGTGGATCTAACATACAACTCTCCTCTCTTTGCAATTAAAATTACAAGAAACCCAATAGTGTAAAGGATATGAAGCTTTTGGCCTTTCCGTGCGTTCTCTCTAGTGCCCAGCAAGTGAGTCATCTCCAAGTTCATAGGAAAGAGCAGCATGTTAATAGGGATTATGTAGTAGTACTGCGAACACAGAGGTTAATGTTTTTCTACTGTGCCTATATGCCAGATAGTGATAGCAGCGTAAAAGTACTTAGGTCAGTGTGGCTGAGGGTTGTAAAACCACTGGCTGTGGTGTTATGCCCCTGTCCTGGTTTTAGCCAGCCCCTCACTCTCCTTTATTTATTGTCTTGTCTCTCCCCCTCGTTTGCATTGTTCTTGGTCCCCCATCTTGTCTCTTGTATTTGAAATGGTTTTCAGACTTTTCATCTTAAGAAAACTGTCAGTGTTACTGGTCTCTGCATACTGAGCCATCTACCACTTTTAAATTGTTTACTTATCAGTAGGGGTGTCCATGTGGCAACATTGGGGCTGTTGGTTCAAAAACGTTCTTCTTGGTTTGTATCATTTGATGTGCAGAGAATGGAACCTTTACAGGTGTTATGCTAATTGAGAAGTCCAAAAGACCAAATGTTTAAGATATAGGTACAAAAAGTTGGCTGTAATTCTTGTTTGCCTGAACCTGCTAGGGCTAACTATTTGCAGGGATGGGTCCAGTTGCTGGTGAAATTAAACAAGAGGTTTCATAGCTCTCCTTAAAAAGAAGCTGAGGATCCCTTTACTGATAACCTCGTTCTTGGGCAAAATAACCATGCATTTATCACCTGTTAGCAAAGCCTTCAAATGTTTCTAAGCTGGAGTAACATGAGACAGTATGACTTGTATGCTTAATAAACAAATGTTGCCTAAATGCACACAGATAGGGATAGTTTTGTTTGGCCACCCGTATGTACAACTGTGTTATACACCATTGCATGAAATGACTAGTATTCCCTTTGGTGTCTGCTGGCAGGTATGGAGTTTGCATTTGGTGTTTGGTTTATGCTAGACGGTTTCTACAGAGACACTAGAGAGAGAATGCATTTGTTTTGAAGCTTTGAAGCTTTCTTGTACTGGTTGCCCCTTGGCTGCTTCCTTCTGCATATTTATGTTAATGTTTAAAGTAGCCACTCGCTTTCCCTTCTAAACCTCGTCAGAGAGAATTTTAAAAGATGCAGTTATTTCAGTTTCCACACTTCAGCAGGTTTCACTGCTGTTTTGAATTGACAGCTCTCATTTTATATTTGTCATATGTGGGGTAGACATTCTGAATATCCTAAAATTCAAGATTGTTTCCTCAATTTTAGATGTGCAGTGTAGGCAGTATATGAATATGACAATACGATGCTTTGCTTGTCCTGCCACAAGAAGTCAAAATGTTAAATCTGTATTGCTAATCCTGCCTTGTTTCTGAGGATCGAGGAATTTCACCCACATTAATAGCCTGGACTGTCCCATCCATAGTGAAGGAGTTAGAGGTCTGCAAAAGCAAGTGTGTTTAGTATTATAAAGGAAATCTGATGATTTGGGATAGAACTTAACATTTGACCCAGTGTTCAATGGACACAAGGTATGGTAGGCAGAAAAATGGTGGACTGTAAAGTAGTTTGAATACATTGAAGAGAGGAGAAGGTGTCAAATTACTAAACTAGGATTAAGTGGGAACAGATAAAGTGTGAACCCGTTATCATGAGCTGCAAACTTCTAGCATCAGCTGGAATGTGTTTAAATCTTCATGTGTTACAGTATTTCCAGAACCAATTTCTGGAGTAAATGTTGCTGCACATGAATTCAGAAAGGTTTAAGATTATCATCCTACTCCAAGATGAGTACAGAAATCAAAATAATTATTACTTATATATTCTACAAAGCACAGACTTCTTCAATCTCAACACAATTATTTTGATAATAATCCTTTCCCCTTATTCTCTTTCCTTCAAAACCTGCTTAATGTTGGTGAGTAAGTGGTGCAGTTACAGGCAGTACTGCCTTGATTTACGAATTATCACAGTGATTTCAGTGAGTGTAGAGAGGTTTTGTGTGAAGGGGGCATCAGAAACAAATTCCAGGGAGGATAAATTGGTCAAAAACAGCATCAGGGGAGACTGATTCAAAGATGCAGCATGTTTATTTTAACATCCTACTGGCCCTTCTTGTTTGGCATACTGAGATGCACGTTTAATGTGGTTCATTTTTCGCTGAATTTTGTAGTTTCTTATACAGTCTCCAGTGAGACATAGTTTTTTCTTAAATTCTCCTTGTTTTAAAACTAGATAGTGAAGCAGCTTATTTGAAATCTAATAATATTTCAAAATAGTTATTTTTTTAGTTCTTAAATATTTTTTAGACCTACTACTATGTAAAAGAAGCAAGAATTAGAAAGGAAATGTTGAATGTGAGTAAACAAAAAGAAAGCAACTCTTAAAAAAAAATTGAACACTTCCTTCTCTTTGTTATATAGACGTCCTTGAGATGATAGGTCAAAATAATGTGATTCTTGTCATGTCTTTAAGTAGATCATACCCCTCTTTAAACTGAAGGATTTAAAGAAAAAAATAGTTAGCAAACCAAAAAAAAAAAAATCTTTAAAATGCAGTGAAAATTCTGACCAGGACTTCCACATCCCTTACAAAATTGTGCAATATAGGGGGAAATGTGCTGTTGCTGCAGCAGCAGTTTCCACTGAATGGAGATATCAGAGGCACTAATGTCTGTGTTCATTAAAGCCGACAGTTTTCTTATTCCATGTGGTTTTGCTGCAGAAATTTTTTGCTGTTTAGGGTATGACAACTGGCTTGAGTTGTGTTTGTCAGCATCTAGCATCATTATTTCCGTGACTACAGTTCCTTAGATGTATAATGTAAGCTGTACTAGTTTGTGGGTCTCTTGCAAAAACTACCTGCCAACTTCCACAAGATTTAATTCAGTTGCATCATTTAAGTGTTATCATTCTTCTTAAAAAGCAAAATTATTAAATACTGCCTTTATAGCATTAATATCCTAGAGATAAAAGAAAACTATCCATCTATTTTTAGGATATATTGGCACAGGAAACTTGTGTTCTTCTTTTTATTCCAATAAAATGCACTACATTTCCAGTAAATGGACAATAATTTGTGTTAAAATGCTGAAAATAGAACAATCACTTAAAACTTTGAAATTAGAAGAGACTTTCAAACTATAATTATTTCATATGAACTATTTTTCATGGGACATAATTGTCTTTGTTATTAATCAGATATGCTCGGTGCTTTTTAATGCCTCTGTTAAGGACTGAAAAATACTGTGGTCTTAAGGGTGGGGTTTTTTTGTCTCCTGCTAGAAAACATCCTTGTTTCTTGTTCCCTTCCTTCCCCTCCTCTTACTGAAATGAACATTGTAAGAGGTGGGGGACTGCCTTTGGAAGTACAAATGATGCCATTCTTTGAGTATATAAAGAAAATAAAAAAAGTATTCTCTTCTTAGACCTTCCTTTTGCTCCAGGTGTAACACCCGGAGTTAAATTCCTGTGTAGAAAGAGTATTGTTCCAGGAAGGTAGAGCTTGTATGACATCTGGGTGAAATAATAATGCTGTTCTAGGCTGAGCTCAGCTGGACGAGAACTTCGTGTGCTTGCGTTTGCTCTCTTGAGAAATGCTTATGACAAAAGAACATGCTGCTTATTGAATGTTCGCAGGACATAAACATTTGTTTTGCTGGTTTTATTCTCCCTCTTGCTTACGTTTCACTTCGTTTCATTTGATTTTTGTCCTTGTGTGAGTTTGGACAGCGGTGCTTAACTTCTTTTCTGCCCAGTCTGTCATCCTGGATGAGAGAATGTCACAATGCAGGATGGTTGTGACAGAGATGGGAATAATACACAGATCCTTTGTCTTGTCTTAATGCTATCTCATTTTGACCACTGAAGTTTGTGATCATCATTGTGGTGGTTTTGTGGGGTTTTTTTTTGGTAAATAAATCTCTAATTCTTAGCTAAACAAATTATTTTCCATTACCTTTCATCGAATGCATCTTTCCACTGCGGGTAGATTTTCCTTCATAACACCAAGTAACTGTGAACAGGAGTTAAAATGAACTGGAATTTACTATTACCTGGAAACCTCCCATTTATGCATGGGCTGATACTTTTAGTATTACTGGTCCTCTTATTCTTTGTGGGTTGTAGTGGCAGAGATCCATGCAATATCCTGAAACTGAAATAGAATTAAAGAGCTCCCTTATGTTGAATTGTGAAACAAGTCTTTAAATGAAAGTCCCTTCTGTGCAAGCTCTCCCCTTCCCCTGACACGTCCTTGTGTTTTGATGACTGTACTTCTGTTGTGTTTTTGGTTTTTTTCTCTTAAACTTTCAGGTACATCATGGTGCCAAGTGGAAACATGGGGGTATTTGATCCCACAGAGATCCACAACCGAGGACAACTGAAATCACACATGAAGGAAGCCATGATTAAACTAGGCTTTCATCTGCTCTGTTTCTTCATGTACCTTTACAGGTTGGTTTCAAAAACTGCTCCCAAGAAACAAAGGACTTGTCTGCCGGCTATTTTTGTCTCCTCTATTCTGCTAGTGTAATTGCTGGTATTCCCAAGTGTCTTATCTTTTTGCATCCTGCTAAGCCTCAATAATGTATTTTGACAGCTGTCTCCAGGTTCATTAAAATGCCTTTATTCTTTCCAATCAAACATTGTTTGGAAACTCTCAAACCCACTACTAAGTACAACATAGAGAGTTACATGACTTCAGAACCTAGAATAGTGGCCTATTGAGCATGGAAATCATCTTGAGGACCAAGTTTATTTTACAAGTTCTGTTTTAAAAAGTAAAGTTGATCTGGCTAAGTTACAAACGGAGGAGTTTTGTGATGGGGCCGCTTACTACAAGATGGAAGAACTACTGTTCTTCTCCCGCAGTCTTACTTCTGCGGTCCTTGTCTTCGTAAGCAAAGCACGTAGCATGGTTGGCTTGACTTTCTATTTCAGGATCAAGTGCAGTTCTCTTTCATGGAAGTGACAGCTGTTCCTACTTGCACATGCTTCAGTAATCCACTGGTCTCATGTTTTCTGTTTTGTCACAGTATGATTCTGGCTTTGATAAATGATTGAGAAGTTGAAAAAGAACCATTGGCTGCCAGATTGGGTCATCACTCCAGTGACTGGTTGTGGAGCCACAGACACCTTCCGAACATGCCTAGCTCAGTGTCGTCATGCAGTATATTTTTCCTCTTTCAACAAGAAATATTTTTCTGTATTTTTAACATAAAATATTTTCAAAAGACATTGGATTTGTGTAGCGGTTGTTTTTGTTCCTTTACAATCCAAACTGCTGTAGCTGCTGCTTCTGTAAGGTGAAATCCTGGCTTACAGAACTGATCTTGTAGGAATTAAATGATGAGGAGGGAAACTCATTTCAGCAGCATGAGATGGTAATAGTGGTAGTTTCAGAACAAATTTTAAGTGCAGTTTCAATGTCTGCTTCTTACTGAAAGGTGTCAGGATGTGCCTCCGGCTGTCAAGCTGTCCTGTTAGAGCCCAGTTTGAAGCAGCACTTGGAATATAGATTTCAAAGTGGAATGCTAGCACAGCTTGCATCTTTGTGTCAGTGTTTTTTCCAGCTAAAAAGCTATGGAATAAAAGTTATGCTTTTCACCCTTTCTACCCCTCCCTCTAACAACCTGTATGAAGTCTTGTGTTTGGATGGATTAAGGTCCTTTTGGTGAAAGTGACACTTGTGTGTAAGAGTGAAAAACAGATAAATAAGAACCATGATTAATACTTGCTTTTTCCCTTCAACTCATATTTTGTCTTTGAAATAAGTCCTAGACCTCCATACAAAGTAAACATCACATTGCACCAGGGCTGGAGTTGGTTACAGAACAAAAGACCATCTGCAGTCGCTGCTCCATGAACCTGCTCTTTCCATATCTAGTGAGATGAGTCAAGAATATGTCTAGCTTGGGCAGGCGGGCTGGTAAGGCATAACCTAGTTATCCCAATTCTGGTGTGACTCTGCTTCAAAGACACTAAGAACCAAAGTTCTTTTTGTGCAGTTCTTGCATCAGTGCTAAGTATATAAACCTGAGTTTGTACCCTCACTGTCCAGTAACCTGTGCATAGAAACAGGTTTTTTGAAACATGTATGAAGTGAAACACTTCAAAAATACAGTTCTGTAATTAGGCCCTAAAATTTATGAGCTTTTACTTCTTAAGTGCTTGTTCTTTGGTGTATAGCTGCAGTTAGCAGATTGTTTTCATGGCCAGCAGTGAAAAGACAACACTAAAGCTTGATTTCTCTAGATACCTTGTGTTCAGTGTTTGTTCTATGAAAAGTTTAGTTTTAAATTTATGATGGAGGAAGTCCAAGTTCAGCTGTAGCAAACATGAAAAATGCTGAATATTATGCTTATTAAGAAAGAACTAGGGAAATAGCTACCACAGCTGCATGCCACTGACTACTTGACACCCCAAAAATCAAACTATAGAAAGCGCTGCCTTATAAAGCTGAAACCCAGAGAGCATGTAGGTCTGGAAAAAGAGCAGATAAAAATTTAAAAGAGAGAAAAGTCAGTAACTTTTGTAGCAGCTTACATGGTGGGCAATTAAGTCACTTATTTATATGTGAAAAAACAGTACATGTATTTTGAGTTATATCTATTAGGAGAAATGGGAAGTGTTAGTAAGCTGCTTAAGTCCTTGCTGTACCTAGATTTTATTAATGACGTTTCACACTGAGAAACATGATCATTAACCTGTAAGTCCACAACTTAAACTAGCAGTTTTATATCTTATTCTAAAGACATGACTTTGAGATAAGAGCTTTATTATTAATGAAAATGTTTGTAAAATACATTGTCTTAAATGACTTCTAACTACTAGCAGCTCAGAGTTACAGTGATGACAGTAGGTAGGGTAGACCCATACCCTAATGGAATTGGTAAAATTTATCACTCACTACAAAAAACTGCTGTTCTCTACTGAGGGAAGTGTTTCTTCAGAGAATGGAGCAGGACAGGAAAGGATAAGGGAAAACAACATCTCTGATAAAAAAAAAAATATTAAAATGGGGGTAGCATGTGTCTTAACTTATATCCCTGACCTAGAGGGATGTTATTGTGAATTCCTCACCACTTCCTCAAGAGTGAATTATTAACCATGACAGACCAACAAAAAAAATACAGGTGTGTTTTCTAAGCGGTGGTCATCAAGTATTAAACAAGCTGTACTTTTCCATGAATGCAGACTTCCCACCCCACCTCTTGTATATAAACAAACTGTCTTCATTCATATCCAACAACTTGTTGTAATAGTTGTAAAAACTCCAGAGACTACCATTCTGCTGAGTAATTACACTGGTAATGTTGAAGCTTTCCTTACTGGCAGGGTTATTTCCTGCTTTAACAGAGATATTCACAGATCTCAGTGTCAGCAATAGGAAAAATGTAATTGCTAACAATCCAGTTTATTAGCGGGACATAGGGATCCTACAGTCATCTATCTCATGGGAGATCCACAGAGCACAGAAATTTTACAGTAGTAAAAACCACCATCTCCCTATACTCTGGGTCTCCCACTAGGGAGGAACAGGGTAATTTAAATCCAAGCTTACTGTGCAAAATTCAAGACAATGACAAACTTTAGACTGATTTTAAATAAAAATTCACCTAACGTTATCACTATGAATCAGTGTGAGACCAAAACACAGATTCCTTCCTGTCGCTCACCAGAATATATTTCCCTTTGGAACTAAGGTATCCAAGTATAACTTCATGAGGGGACCATTATCTTATCCTTCAAATGATTAGCTATGATTTATAGAAAGCTCATAGAATCATCTGGTTGGAAGAGACCTTCAAGATCATCGAGTCCAACCATTCACCCTGCACTGTCAGGGTCCCTAAACCATGTTGCTCAACACCAAATCCACACAGTTTTTAAACACCTCCAGGGATGGGGACTCCACCACCACCCTGGGCAGCCTGTTCCAATACTTCACAACCCTCTCTGTGAAGAAATTTTTCCTGATATCCAACCTAAATTTCCCCTGGCGTAACTTGAGGCCATTCCCTCTCGTCCTGTTATTCATAACGTAGGAGAAGAGACCGACCCCCATCTCCCTACAACTTCCTTTCAGGTAATTCTAGACAGCGATAAGGTCCTCCCTGAGCCTCCTCTTCTCCAGACTAAACAGTCCCAGCTCTCTCAGCCGCTCCTCATAGGACAAGTTCTCTAAACCCTTCACTGGTTTCGTTGCCCTTCTCTGAACCCGCTCCAGCACCTCAATGTCCTTCTTGAAGTGAGGGGCCCAAAACTGGACACAGTACTCCAGGTGTGGCCTCACCAGTGCTGAGTACGGGGGGACAATCACTTCCCTGCTCCTGCTGGCCACACTGTTTTTGATACATGCCAGGATTCCCTTGGCTTTCTTGGCTGCTTGGGCACACTGCTGGCTCATGTTCAATCGGCTGTCGACCAGCACTCCCAAGTCCTTCTCTGCTGTGCAGCTTTCCAGCCACACTTCCCCAAGCCTGTAACGCTGCAGGGGGTTTTTGTGGCCCAAGTGCACTTGGTCTTGTTGAATTTCATACAGTTAGCCAATCCATGAAAATAAATCTGAAGTTGGCCTGCAGGGGTCCCAACTTTTAACCAAGGTTATTAAGCTTTTTTCCTCACCCACAGTCTAGAGCCTGGTCTAGGATATTAAGCCATTCAACAGTTCTCAGAGAGATGAGATACCTGCCATAGGACTGCACTCAGGAGGGGTGATTAGTTAAAATACGTATGATAGCATATATCCCCCTAATTAATCATTACAGTTACAGACTGTTGGTCATTTGTCTTGTTTTATTAAAGAATACACTTGTCTCCTCATTCTAGTAAACTATTATTCTGAAATAGTTCTGTATTATGGAACATAGTAATTCAGTGGGATTAATAGTGTGACCAGTAGTCCTAAGAACAATTCTACATGCAGGTTAACACTCAACCTGCAACCCTGGTAAGCCCACAAAAGCAAATCTTTTATCTGTTCAGTATCGGCATAGCTTTTATCTAATTCTTTCTCTTACAGGATGCTCTCTAAGATTTTGTACAAATGCTAAGAAAAGACCATTTTTGCCTTTAAGGATATTATAGTAATGACAAGATTGGATGTAGTGGTAGACGTTAGACTATACAGACCACCGTGCAGTTATCAGTACATTAACCACCTTATGTTTGGCAGAAAGGTTGGAGGCATACAAACTTCAGTAGCTACTCTTCAGAGCATTATGTGTCTTTTAAAGTGAGGAGGCAACCGAGCGTGCCCTCGTTCTGCAGTGAGCCCACAGCCTAGGGATGTGCAACACATGTGGAATAGCAGAGGGATGCACCAGGCAGCGCAGAAAGCGCAGGCCAAGGGGTAAAGGGACAGAGTAGAACAGAAACTGTCCTTCTGGAGAAGCACCCTACCTCAGGCAGAGTTTGGATTTAAGCTAATTACGAAACGCTCATCTACTATCAGGTTCCTTATGCAATTTCTTTTAAATAATCTGACGGGTTTAAAAAAAAATTATAATAAATTTTAAGTCTTACATATGCTGAAATGTCAAAGTTCTATAGAAATCATGAGTTTGTTTAGCATTCTTCTCACCAGTTAAAGGCCAACATAGGACAGCAGATGAAGGACAGTAACAAAACAGCCTCAAACCAGACTTTCTTCATCTACTGCGTGGATTGTTTATGGCTAAAGCAGGTCTGCAATCTTAACAACCCTCCTGCAAATACTGTTACCGAAGGGAGGCGGCACAAAGCCGCATGTGGAAAGGGCTAAGGCATGCCTGTTCTGTTGGCAGCTGCATCCAAGCCATGATTATCTATAACGCTGCTTAAACTGTAAGGGAGGGTCAACACAAAGGTACTACTAGGGGGAGTCAAGGCCTTTTCTAATCAATGTAGAAGCTCAAAGAATTAAAAAATGGAACGCACGTCAGCAAAAGGTTTGAGTACAGAGGGGAGGGCAAATTTAGGCACAGCTTTTTATTTAACAGAACAATGAAGAAAAAAATGCCTGAAACGCAGGACGAAGATGAGGTTCTGTTTTAAGGCACAGGGAAGAGGAACAAGAACACAGGGTTAGTTGGAGGGAACAAAGGCAACAGCTGAGAGGTATCTTCAAGAGCTCTCAGCCACAGAAGCTGCTTAGGTCCACTTCACATGGAAGTCTGGAGGTGCCTGGTCTCCCATTTAAGAAAAGTCAAAGCAAAGAGATGCAAGTACTTTAGGAGCACCTTCTTAATACAAAA